ATGTATATATATATATTTATATATCTACATATATATATCTATATATATACATACATATATATATATACATACATATATATATATATCTATATCTTAAAAGGGTTAAATCCTAAAAACTGAATTTATAAAATCATTTAAATCCTATGATACTGTTTGGCAAGTCCTACCAGGTTTGGCAAGTCCTTCCAGGATTTACAACAGTGGAGCGAAAAAAAAAGACGGTTGAGTGAAAAAAAAAAGAAAAATTAAAACCTCGGCCAGCAAACACAAACCCACTATAAGAGAATTTTGTATCCTACTTTCTATTTAATATATTAACCTTTGGGCTTTCTCAAATATATATATATATATATTGTGTGGGAGGACCTACAAATGACACTCTGCTTAGACGATAATCACCACATCAAATGATTCCAAAAAGAGAATCTATAGAAAAATATATGAGACCTAAAGAAAAAAAATCAAAAAGTGCCAAAATACGGAGTATCAGGTAGCTAGAGAGCGACCCAATTTTGCCTTGCCTTTGTCTCTAGTTCTAAGGAGTCAACTAATAAATTGGTAAGATGAGTGTCATTATCGGTAGTAATCAATGTATCATCCAATAAATTTGAGTTAGCCTCCGTTCTTCTTCTTCCTCCTGGAATAGACCTGTCATTCGTCATCTGAAGATTGACTCACCTGATTAGTGGAATGGTCTAAAGTATGTCGGATTTGTGTAGGTTGTTGAATATTAGAAGCAACTACTTATTGTACCATCTGATCTTTTATCGGATCAAATGAGCATTTTCGTGTGTCTTAACATGTAAGTGGTTCTTCTTCAATAATAGTGAGTGGTATCAGCACATTTGGATCTGTACTTGTAGTATGGTGTTCTTCATCTGGAACTGCGGTGTTGGAAAAAGGATCGGGTTGCATTTTGGTGGCTGATCTTTAGCGATATTTGGCTTTAGATGAAGATGCAAGCGATAACAAATAGTAAAACTGTGGCCAAACATACTACAATGAGAGCAATAAGGAGGGTGTGGTTCTATTTCAACATTTTGCCAATATCTGTTGTGAGTGCTGCCAATCTATATCTCATCCGGAGTTGGTTGAGTGATATCTCTCTAAATTAACACACAAGCCACAGATGATATGGTGACAGCTGTGGTGATGACAAACTTAGGACTATCAATCTTGAGAGGTTTATCATAAGCAGTTGCTAAGGAATAGAGAATTTTCATGTTGAACAGATGTAATTTTAACCCCAAAAACTTTATTTAAGCAG